GATGTTTGTGACTTTATAATTAAGTAAGTTTAATTAATACAGTGATGGATATATGTGTGTGTGTGTGTGTGTGTGTGTGTGTGTGTGTGTGATTAATTCATATGATTAACATATGTCATTTTTAGGCATTGCATAATAATTCATCTTAACAATCCATTAGATAAGTTTTATTTACTCGCGTTTATGGCAAAAAAACTATTTGCTCTTGTAAATAACAAATGTGCCATAGAAGGTGCCGATGGTGTGATGATGCAAGAATGTTTACTAGGTGGTCATTTGTACTTGCAAGTATTACAAGAAAAATTATACGGTTGGTTGACTGGTCTTAAAATGGGTATTTTGAAACGCGCAAGAAGCGCCGGTAATAGATATGCTTTAAGCGTGCGTGAGTATTTTGAAATTTGAAGATTATAATTTTAATTCGAAGCTTACAAACCTATGTTACAATTGTAATATAACTTATTGTATACGTATGCAGAGGAAATGCTAAATGTAATGAAACATGGAAACTCGCTAGAATCGCAAATGGAAAACTTTTTAGCCACTGGAAACTTGAAATCGTCAACAGGTTTAGGATTGATGCAAAGTTCAGGTCTCACGATCATCGCTGAAAATATTAATAGAATGCGATATATGAGCCATTTTCGGGCGATACATAGAGGTTCCTTTTTCCAAGAAATGAGGACTACGGAAGCTAGACAGTTGTTGCCAGACGCGTGGGGTAATTACTTGCTTCGTTTATTTATTTAAACAAATCTCTCTTTACTAATACAAAAATAATGTTGTAGGTTTCATTTGTCCTGTACATACGCCTGACGGTACACCTTGCGGTCTTCTTAATCATTTAACGATGAATTGCATCGTTACAAAACATCCCAATTCAAAATTAAAAGCTAATATTCCTATTATATTAATGGATCTTGGAATGATTCCACTGTCAATTGCTGATAATTGGAAAAACTCTTACGTTGTAATGTTAGATGGAAAATTAATAGGACTAATAGACGACAATATAGTTTCAAGAATAACAGACAAACTACGATTGCTGAAGATAAAAGGACAAGATGTAACGTGATTTTTCAATTCGATACAACGAACTTGAATTTTCTTACTTTATCGTACTATGTCGTAATTTACGTTTAGATTCCATTTACGATGGAAATAGTACTGGTGCCAAAGAAGAATGTACCGGCACAATATCCAGGACTGTATTTATTTACAAATGCAGCTCGCATGATGAGGCCAGTAATGAATTTAACTGCCAAAAAAGTGGAATATATAGGTACTTTCGAACAAATTTATTTAAACGTCTGCGTTACACCCGAAGAAGCTTACGAAGGGGTAATATATTATTTCTTTGTCACCTTTTTAAAAATTTCGTTTTCTTTGTTATTCTTATTTATTCACAAAGACGTTTTTTTTACTATACGTACATGAAGCTGACGTCGCATCAAGAATTATCAAAGACGGCTTTTTTGAGCAATTTGGCAAGTCTTATCCCAATGCCAGACTGTAATCAAAGTCCACGAAATATGTATCAGTGTCAGGTAAATGCACGTGATATCGTTCGAATGTTAAAAATATCGTTGTACGATCGATTTCAAGATTTTTTAAATCTAATTTTCATCTCCAATCCAATCGTTTTCTAGATGGGGAAACAAACAATGGGCACCCCATGCCATACATGGCAATTACAATCTGAAACTAAGTTATACAGATTACAGACACCTGCAACGCCACTCTTTCGGCCAGTGCATTATGACGAGATTAATCTTGATGATTTTGCTATGGGTACTAATGCAATAGTTGCTGTTATTTCTTATACAGTAAGTAGCGAAGAGCAGTAGCAGTGAAATATTAATTATTAAACTAACGTGTATAAAATGTTGAATAACTATCGACGAAATACTCGCTTAACATTAATAGGTTATTAACGAAGTAGTAAACTCCCATTCGAGAAAATGATATTTTGTATAAATTAATTCAAAATAATATATTTTCAAATATCAATTATCAGGGATACGATATGGAAGATGCAATGATTATAAACAAAGCAGCGCACGATAGAGGTTTTGCATATGGAATGATTTATAAGTCTGAATTCGTAGATCTGAAAGATCAAAAAAGTTACTTTGCGAGAAATCCTGATAAACCTGAGCTCGCAGAAAAATTAGACGTTGATGGTCTCCCTATATTAGGTACAATGATTTCGGAAGGTGATGTCTATTATTGGTAAGTCGTTCATTATTATTAGTCATAATTTAATAATTTTTTAATTTTATTTACTAGCGTGAAGCGCTCTTGTTTTTATTAGTTATTACGATGCAGATCAATCAACGTACGTTACTGGCAAATATCATGGCAAGGAAAACGCTTATGTTGATACTGTAAAACTTTGTGGAACATTACACAATCATATTCCACGTAGAGCTTGTATCACCTTTCGTATTCTAGTGAGTAAAATCTTTCGAGTTGATGATTTCAATTTTCTTCGGTAAAACATTTTGTATTACATTTCTAATCGTACTACTTGTTCTATCACTTAATGTAGGATATTCCGCGTCTAACAATTCTAAATAAGACTTTTGAATTTTACAGCGTAATCCAAACGTTGGAGATAAATTTGCTTCAAGAGCAGGTCAAAAAGGTATCTGTTCGCAAAAATGGCCTGCAGAGGATCTACCATTCACGGAAACAGGTCTAATTCCAGATATTGTATTTAATCCCCATGGTTTTCCAAGTCGTATGACGATAGGTAACAAAATTTAACAGTCAAAGTATTTCCTCGACTATTTAAATACTACTACACGTAACTGTTTAATTTATATATTTAATAGCTATGATGATCGAACTAATGGCTGGAAAATCAGCAGCCATACATGGATTGGTGCACGATGCAACGTCGTTTAGGTTTAACGAGGATGAAACAGCTGTTGAATATTTTGGTAAATTATTGGAGCGCGGTGGTTACAATTATTATGGAACGGAAAGAATGTATTCAGGAATAGATGGAAGAGAAATGACTGCCGATATATTTTTTGGAATAGTACATTATCAACGATTACGTCATATGGTTTCGGATAAATGGCAGGTTAGCAGGAAGAATTAAGTTCTTTTCGTTACAAATAAAAATTTCTCATTTTATCTAATATTTCACAATTTTTGTAGGTGAGGAGCACTGGTCCGATCGATGTTTTAACAAGACAACCCATAAAAGGTAGAAGAAAAGGTGGTGGTGTTCGATTTGGAGAAATGGAACGAGATTCGTTACTATCTCACGGTTGCTCGTTCTTACTTCAGGATCGTCTTTTTCACTGTTCAGACAAAACTACGGTAAACGTCTATTTAAGCAGAGGATCGTTCAAACTCGGATAACGTAATGACGTCCGTTACTGCACTGGATATTTTACGCCAATATCTATTTTAGACAATCAAGTAATCAATTTGTCAAATAGCAGTATCGGTTCACTATTATTTTTATATTTCACATCTGAAATTATATTCAAATTGAAATATATTTCAATTCGCATGAAGATAAAAAGCGATCCATAATTTTGCTGGTGCGATTAATGATATCTTAATCAATAATAAATCAACGTTACGTAATGTTTCAGACTTTAGTATGTAAAAAATGTGGAACGTTATTGGGTCCAGTAATGGAAATGGCTTTAATTTCATCAGGACTAAATGATAAAACAAGATGTCGCCTTTGTGGCGATGGCGAATCTGTCGGAGAAGTTGAGATACCGTATATTTTCCGATATCTTGTAACGCAGTTGACATCTTGCAATATAAATGTAAAGTTATCGTTTGCAGAAAAATAAAAACAAGTAAAAATTTAAAGCGTACAATTCTGTATTTTCTTCTAGTATTAATAATACTTTATTTTTTCTAACATTTCATAAACATTATACTTGGAAATTCCATTAACGTTATTCTACAAATATCTTCATCCCGCTATTCGATACGCTTCATAACAGTTATGTACACCTTCCGATTTATTAAATTTGATAATATCGTGAATCGAACGCTTGTTGGCATATATATTGCTCTTTTGTCTCTACGTACAACTATGTTAAAACATAATAC